CGTTTAAAATATTCATCCTTTTTAATCCATGTTCAAATGTTAGCTTTTCCATTCATACTCTTAATATTCCTAGATATAAATCTTTAACAATTTTCCCTCTATATCAAGAATAATAGGCTTTTTCCATTCTCAAAATATTTCAAGCTCACTTAGCTGTGACATTGGAATCAAACCCCTTTCCCAAGTGAGGTTGATAAATATGTATAAGAACCAACTAATAAATTAGCATGTTGGTTTTAAATTTGTTTGCTCTCAATAATGATTAGCTACCTTCAATATGAATGTATGCCTTGATAACAGATGTGTCCGAAGGAAATACTGACTGAAAGTCCCATAGGCTTTCTGTCTTCAAAGTGATTATGATACCAGTAAATGCTGATGACAGAAATAAAGGTAGACTTTGCTTCAAAGAGATAACTAGAGTTGACATGAAAGTTTAAATTACTGCAATCAACCTTTGAATTTTTCTTGCCTTTGCTGTCATTTGCCCACATGTGATCATTTGTATTTTTAGTTCCTTTATGCTTGCCTCTGTCATGGTGTTGTCTCATTATCAAAAGAATGTGAGATTATCTTTGAGGTTTGAGATAGTAACCTGATTAGGCATCATTTAGATTGAAGACAGTTGTGGCATGCGTGAGTTCATGCAGCATGCATGAGTGCATTTATGATGTCTTTGTACCAAGCAGCTCTTGGTAATGTTGATGTAACACTTTCCTACCTTCCCTTTGAATTTTCATTTGGAAACTCTTAGTTCTCCATCCAAGGACTTATAAAAAACACTTGCAGCCGGGCTCGGTGGCTCAGCCTGTAATCCCGCGCCTTTGGGAGGCTGAGGTGAGTGGATTGCCTGAGCCCGTGGGTTCGAGACCCGCCTGGGCAGCAAGACCTCATCTCTACAATAAATCAAAAAATCAGCTGGGCGTGGTAGCACATGCCTGTAATTCCGGCTACTCGGAAGGCTGAGGCGGAAGGATCGCCGGAGCCCAGCAGGTCGAGGCTGCGGTGGCCGGGAGCGGCCACTGCACTCCAGTCTGGGCAACAGAGTGAGACTCCAACTCAACAAAACAAAAAAACAAAAAAACACTTGCATTGCATCTAAAAGTACTGTGAGTAGGTGACAGAGCACCTTTAAGGAAGTCTAGCCTGGGGCACGGTGGCTCACACCTATAATCCCAGTGCTTTGGGAGAGGGAGTTGGGAGGATTGCTTGAGCCCATGAGTTTGAGACCAGCCTGGACAACATGGGGAGACCTGGTCTCAACAGTAGATTTAAAAACTAGCTGGGCTCGGTGGCTCAGCCTATAATCCCGCGCCTCTTGGAGGCTGAGGTGAGTGGATTGCCAGAGCCCGCGGGTTCGAGACCCGCTTGGGCAGCGAGGCCTCATCTCTACAATAAATAAAAAAAATCAGCCGGGCGTGGTAGCACACGCCTGTAATTCCGGCTACTTGGAAGGCTGAGGCGGAAGGATCGCTGGAGCCCAGCAGGTGAGGCTGTGGTGGTGGCCGGGAGCGGCTACTACACTCCAGTCTGGGCGACCATGTGAGACTCTAACTCAAAAAAAAAAACTAGCCAGGCATGGTAGCATGTGCTTGTAGTCCCAGCTACTTGGGAGGCTGAGGCAGAAGGACCACCTGAGCCCAGCAGTTCGAGGCTGCGGTAGCCATAACTGTATCACTGGATGACAGAGTGAGACTGCAATTCAAAAAATAAATAATAAATAAATAAATGAAGGACGTCTAAATCTTGTGGTGGTGCTAGATAGGGCATAGATTATAATTGTGAGTGGTAAGAACTGAAATAGCATCATTTGTTAGAAAATTTTGTGACCTTTCTGTTCAATTATCTTTGAGGTGCTAATACATCTTAGTCTGTGTGTGTCTGGTTCTGTGTGTGTGTGTGTGTGTGTGTGTGTGTGTGTGTGTGTGTGTGTGTATGACAAGAATAAAAACTCTTGGATCTTTTGGGGAATTAATAGATTGCAATTTATTTATAACTAAGATGACCTGATTTAATCAAGAGTTAATCAAGACCAGGTTTCAGAGTGTCAGAATAGAATCGACTTTGTATTTTTGAGTACTCACACACTTTTGGAGAGCATCATTACCAAGGCATGTTAGCCTTTGAAATCTTTCTATTTGGATATAGAGGAACAGAAAATGTGATTACTCTTCTTGTGTTCATAAGCTGAAATAAGCATGAAATCCGGTGCATGAAAAGTACTGGAGCCAAGAAAGTAATGGAGCCAAGAGTGACTGAATAACTTTACTGATAATCCATAGAGATTATTTCAATCTAGGATTTGATTCCTTCTTTGCATTGACCAAAACTTTGTCTGCACATTTTTATTATGGCAGAAGTTATTCATAAGCCTGTCTTCTATTCTCTGCCAGGAAAGTCTGCTGGGGCTACTGTCTAGGTGTCAAAAGAGGCTTAATACCTGTTAATATTATACAATGTATATATCCTATAACTAGGAAGCATGGTACTTATTTGGAAGTACATTTTTGAGGTGCATTTATTTTCCTTCAATTTTTAAAAACTTAGCTGTTTTTTAAATTGACTAATTTTTAAAGCACATATGTCATTATTCTGTCATCTTAACACAAATATTTTCATTTTCTGGTTCTCTCAGTCTCTGTTCTTATATGATTTTGTTGTTGAAATCATGTTTGTCTTTTTCATTAAATGTAAAGACATTTTCCTCATAATAAAGTTTTCATCATAATTTTAATTGCGAAATAATAACCTACCAGCTACTTTTTTTTTTTGAGTTGGAGTCTCACTCTGTTGCTCAGACTGGAG